TGTCCATGTGTTGTTTGATTATAAAGCAGGTCTAGGTTCTATATTAATACTGTGAAAGTATCAAAGCGCTCAGTCCACAGAGAAATGCACACAGCCTGTATTCAGAAACTGAGCCTTAAAACCAGCTGTCAGGACTTCTGTAACTTTGTGATGTCACAACAAAGCTGTCACCACTCTCAACCATGCCCCAAGCCCCGCCCACCTGGACCCACCATTCAACCTTGCAGGATTTGGTTTCTCTGACTGTTTACCTGAAATATGCAATATTTTTTATTGGATCAGTCAGAAAACAGTCAGCCAATCAGAAGAGAGGCTCAGAGCCTCCTCTCTTCTGATTGGCTCACTGACCTGTTGTTACTAGGAGAGGAGATGTAAAACTACATTGAGATGGTTTTTGGTTCTTAAAACCACAAATATATCTTATGGATCAACACTTCAAATAAAACACAGGAGAAGAGGAAAATATGGGACCTCTGTAATGTTAGTAATATGGGACTAGTAATATTAGCTTACTAGTTTTGAGAGTCTTATAACAGGTCTTGTTGTGATATTGTTCATGATATTGAGACTGAAGCTAAAGCTGCATATACTGGGAAAATGTCAAAAGCTTCGCCATTTGATGGGCCATGCAGAAGACATGCAAACAACAACAACATATTGTTGTCTTCAACAACATGTAGAAGATGTGTTGAACAAACAGCAGCACGTGGAAATAGTATTGTTGTTTCTCAGTGTAGAGCTAGTTTGTTTTATCATAAGTAAGATAAGAAAACATGTGAGATCAGAATGTAACTTCTTTTGGCTGCTTAGCTGAAATACTTCTTCATAACAGTATGTTTCACTTCAAACTTTTCACTTTAAAAAAGCTTTTAGAATGAGAACTAATCAGTGTGTTTGGCAAATGTAGAGCATTGTCAGGTAATGTTGGTAGGTTACTAAAATGTTAACTTCCCCAAACCCAAGAAAGAAAAAGCAAGAGCTGCTAACGTTAGGTTAAGATCTGATCTAGCATCCAAGACTAGCTTCCACACAGTGGGGAAATATTACACAGTGGATGTGCTAGTCATGAATGAGGCTCTTGCTTAATGTAACCTGTAACCTCCTTTGCCTTGTAAATAACACTAAGATTACTGCTGTAGCATTAGCATGTCCACCTAACTAGTTTACTAGATGCTAATGCCTTCAGCTTTCATTAGAGCAGATACACTGGTCAGTCCATGTCTTATTCTTTTGCCTCTATGTTTTTGGTTCTGGAAAAGCTTAAAAAAACTCAAGAGTGCCGAGTATCACCCATACACATGACTTTGGCATGTGGAGAAATACCGAGCACTGCCTAGTTACGGTTGCCAATCTACATTTGGACAGTTGCTGTTCAGGAAAGGGGTTTTTTTGAACAGTCAATTCTTGGATTCTTTGTTATGTTCTGTTGCCAACATAAAGGTCTTTAAGTATCTTGAAGATACTCAATGTTGATAACACGTGAGCAAATCAGCAGAATTCAGCAAAAAGGTTGGTATCTGACTCAGACCCTGGTTCAGACTGACCCATATGGGGGTGTTGCCTGTGGGACAATTCAAAATTTCCATCCTTCCTCTCAACAGACATTTCATGATTGTGTAGCAGCAGGAATCAAAGTGTTGTCTGTGTATGCCCGGAGGTTCCTCACTTCTTGTGGATCTGTCCAGCCTGCTCACGGCCCTGTTTCTTCTTTTCCTCCAGGGCTTTTTTGTCACCACTACTAGTAGTAGTAGAAGCCAAATATGCTAAATCCAACTTCTTCAAAATGAAGTTGGTTTCACCTCTGTGCTCTGAAAATTGTTAAGATCATATAAAGGATAATGTGGACATTTTCTTGTTTTCTGTTTTTTCAGGATTATGTTTATGGGTTAAAAAAAACCTGTTGCCCTTGAGCTTTTGAAACCAGGTTATTGGATTCAAAGCTGCTTTCAGTGAGCTAAAAGGGCCATTTTATTATATTACCTTTTATATTTGGAAATAGGTTTTTAATCATAGTCACATTGGATTAAAACTATTAATCACTAAATGAAAGTAATTGAGATTATATTCAATAAAGCATAATCATTTTATAATTCCTCTGCATTTAAAGACTGAACTTGTAACTGAAATTGGAATCTTAAAAAGTTAAGGGCCCCACTTTAAAAGTCCAAAGGTCATGATCTAAAGCACATGTAGAAAGTGCATTTTGGGTGTGTCCAATTTTGCTAGTTTAATGGCAGAAAAAATGGTCGCTGCACCAAGCACTTCATTCAAAAGGGTTGTACTTAGTCTCTTAATTAATCATGGGAGTGTTTTGAGCATGTTTCAGAGTGCCATCTCCCATTCCCTTTAAAAGCCAGGTGCACCTGGGCAGATTGATATAATAATGGTGTATTTGCCAGGTAATAAGAAAAAACGCTTCCTGCAGAGTATCCGGATCTGCTTGTACACACAGTGAAAGTGCATGTACAGACCGTCTACAGCAGGATTTCACAACAGATCAAGAGTGCAAAATATTAAATTATGGGTGCAATGCACCCTCAGTGTAATATTTTGCACCCTCATTTTGCACCCTCAGTTGAAATTTTAATATTAAATGCCAAGTGCAATGTGCAATGTGCAATGTGCAATGTGCAAAGTGCATGTCTTAGGTGCACAGACTGTGGGGGTGTCTCCATGTGGTTATTTCAAGTTATAACTGACCAGTCTGAAGTATGTAGAGGTGTGTGTGGTTATTGTGCAGCCTAGTGTTGTTTTCAGGCAATTTAATAAAGGTAAACACAGGGAACAGTCATATGTAATTGCACTACATTGTGCTTCGACAATGCCAATCCTAATGCCAAAAGCTGTACAATTTTTCAGGATGCAGCCTTAAAATAACAGTGAAAAACTGCACCATTGACTTCACACCCGGTTTTTGTTGGTCAATCGCGCAATCCATTTCCGCTGCCTCAAGACAGCAATGCTCCAACAATGCACCTGACCACACCTTGTTTTAGGTACAACACCCCCATGGGCGCACAGATGGGCACAAGTGCATTTTAAACAATGTCGTAGCTGGATGGGAAAGTGATAACTGTGTCGGTCTGAAAGTAGCAAAGACACTTGTGTTGTGCTTCCTGCAGCTTTGCGCCGGGTGTAAGACAGGGCATTTAACCACATGACTTGTACATCTAATATAAAAAACAAGATCCAGACAAAAATGAGTGGAGAAACAGGGCACAAAGGGTCACTGAACAGTTTGATGAGTATGAAAATGATGTGAATCATATGTTATGGCCTTCACAGTCACCACATCTCAACCCAGTTGAACACCTATGGCAGATTTTTGACTGACGTGTTAGACAGCGCTCTCCACCACCATCATCAAAACACTGAATGAGAGAATGTCTTTAGGAAGAATGTGTTCATCCTCCAGTAGAGTTCAGAGACTTTTAGAGTCAATATCAAGGGGCACTGGAGCTATTCTGGTGGTACATGGTGGTCCAACACCTTACTAAGAGGTTTTTCCTTAAATTTGTATGTGTGCACATTTTCTTATAAAATTGCACATACCTCTGATAGTGCACGCTGGTGCTCTTATAGAGAAAAATATTTTTTAAACTGCAGCAACTATAATCAAGTGATGACGATGCAAACAACACTCTGCTCCTTTGTAAAATCCCATTAAGATGTACTGAAGGAATTTGAGATATTACTTCCTGAGCAATTTTGATAAGAACGTCTTCAGGATAACCTAAGGTGTGTACGTCCTCAAATGCTAAACTTAAGTTTTTCAACTGAGACAATTTCACTGAAGTAAAGTGTTTTGAATGTTTGTGCAGTTATCTATGTTTGTGTGTTATATTAACTTCTTGAGTTTCAATTCAGGTCTGATAGTGCACTGTACCTGCACTTTCCAGAAATCCCTTGTCAGTCAAACAGTTTGTGATTTCTGAGCTGAAGTTTCTGTGGATGGGACCTTTTTATTTATCTGTGTAGCTGTGGTGGATATCACAGCTGGGTTCTTCCTGTTTGTTTCTGAGACTCACTAGAACTTAGAAACAAACTTAGTATTTGAAACCTGTACTTGGTGATGACAGCGCTGGGGTGGAGAGGTTCACAGGGAATATTGGTCGGTTGCTTGCCTTTTCATTTCTTGGCTGAGTTTTAATTTGCTACTTCCTGCTGCTCGACCACATCCAGATTTCAGTTTTTTTTTTTTTTTTTTAAACAATTTATTTATTGAATTTTCAAAGATGCAGAGCAGTCTACAGGGGAAGACACAGAGGTGAAAAATAAAATAAAATGAAAAATTAACATGTTAAAGTAATCCCTTAAGGCCAATCACCCCACCCCACCACTACACAGGAGCCATTACCAAGGTACAGAAACGTAGGTACCAGAGGAGTGAAAAGATATATGCATAAATTGATAAACAGAACTAAAAGAAATTAAGTAGATAAAGATGTACTGAGGTTGGCATGAATCCAATATGTATTGGTACAAAAATTCAACATATACATACATATACTGATGCCCATTTGCCTCAAGTCAATATTGTGGTCAGCCCACAGCAGATTGTGAGATTTTACCCATATAGCTACTAAAGTCAGCCCAACATTTACCATAGAGATGTGGCTTTCGTTAAACATAATGTTTTCTGATGCCATGTATGAGGTGAAACAGGTGGAGAGACTTCACTTTTCCATGACAATGCAATGCATTTGTTACCAGCAATCATGGCCGGTTTTATAAACCGTGCCTTGCTTCTTTTGGTGAAAGGGATCAGATTTTAGTATTTGAAAGAGAGTTGGAAGACAGAATCTATATTGACTCAATTGGTCAGGACAGGTCATTCTTCACTAGATCGGTCTCACTGAGTCAGTTAAAGTGATAACAGCAGGATTTTTACATTAAATTTTTAAGCACAGCAGCTTTAATGCAGAAATCTTTCTCTTTCTCTTTCTCTTTCTCTTTCTCTTTCTCTTTCTCTTTCTCTTTCTCTTTCTCTTTCTCTATAGGACCTCGATGGGCATCATGGAACCTTGGAGTGTTCATGTGTATCCGCTGTGCCGGCATACACCGCAACCTGGGTGTCCACATCTCCAGGGTCAAATCTGTCAACCTGGACCAGTGGACACCTGAGCAGATCCAGGTAGACATACACAATCACACCTTTAACACACAGAACAATTCACACCAGCATGGAAATACTGAAGTGATAACACAAGTATTAAAGAAAAAGTCCATAATGACAATCCATAGGTTAGGTTTCATTCATTCATCATTTCATGGTCAAATGAAACACACAGATGTCAGACATATTCCTGCTGGAATCAAACTCTTTCTAGTGACAACAGGGGCTGAGGACATAGACCAGGGCGTCCACTAATCGGAAGGTTGGTGGTTCGATTCCCGGCTCCTCCAGTCTGCATTTCGAGGTGTCCTTGGGCAAGATAGAGAACTCTAAATTGCCCCTGATGTGTCATTGTTGTGTGAATGTGTATATATGGTAGGAAAGTGGTATGTTATATGTGTAGGAAAAAGCATTGTATGAATGTGTGAGTGAATGGGTGAATGTAGCTTCCATTGTAAAGCGCTTTGTGTGGACAATGAGACTAGCGCTATGTAAGTGCAATCGATTTTACCTTTTTCAAGTAGTATATTTATTGTTCACTACTATAGTCACTTACAAGTCATATATGTCCCTCATAACTTATTTTGTGCTATAATTATCAAATTAAGATGTTTTTTCAATATCAAACGTAACCCAGGTTCTTACAGTCTGTACAACCAGGGTAAGGGTTAGAACATGAGCTGCTGGCAGCTACTTAACATTGAACAGATCATCATTTACATCATCTAAAGCATGATGGGAACCTTAGTGTAAATATATTCATCACAAATCAAAATAAGAAATCAATAGGAGTGAAAAAATTAATAAAAACTGTGATAGGCATTAACATCCCATCAATGTGGTCCTTGTATCTCCAGCACACTAACATATTGAAAACCTTACAAGCAATAAAAACACACATCTGGTTACATCTTGTGACAACGGCATAAAAGTGTAAGTAACGTGAGCGAAATCTGATCAACAACAGTTGAATTTCTAAGGGTTAAATGAACCATCAGCAGCAGCATGTCTATGTAAGATGGCACACACACACACACACACATACACACACACACACACACACACACACACACACACTGTCACAGAAGTGCAGCATTTAGTATGCGTTCCACTGTCCCTTCACATTCACAGTGGATTTATGACATGCATGTACTCAGCAACACGTGTACCCACACACACAGGGATTATAGACAACTGTAATAAGTCTGCGTATAGGTGTGTTATGGATAATTAGCATGACACATTGATTGAATTACACACAATACATCTGGAAGAGTTGTCTGTGTGTGTGTGTGTGTGTGTGTGTGTGTGAGAGAAACTCACCTGAGCATGCCAGTAATTCATTTGATCACCCAGTTGTTAGACTATGTCCTTGTTTGGTGTGTGTGTGTGTGTGTGTGTGTGTATTATGATAAAGGCATGTGTGTGTGTTTCTTGAAGGCAGTGCCTATCCATCAGTTGAGTGTGAGTAGAAAGGGTCTCACTCTGAATGTTAATCACTGTTTTCAATGACTAATTAATTCTGGATGGCTGATTATTCCGACTCCGTCTCCTCTACTTCTCCTATCATCACCCCATTTATCACCCTCCTCTTAATTTAGCCTTGACACATGCGGCCAGTGTGTCTTTCACTCTGTGTGTTTGTGTGTGTGTGCGTGCTTGTGTGGAAAGGAGTCGGCGGGGTTGAACTGAGTTGAATGCCAATGTGATGTATGAAAGAACTCGCTGTGTGTGACATGTTCTTAAAGGCCCTTTACCAATTACTTTGCTAGTATTAACAGCACATTCCCTTTTTCTTTCTTTCCTGCTCTACTTCTCTCCTCACAGAGTATGGTGGACATGGGCAACACCCGGGCCAGACAGCTGTATGAAGCCCACCTACCAGAGAGCTTCAGACGGCCGCAAACAGACCAGTATCCTCCTCTGTGGTTTCGCATTAATTCAACCCCACTTTGACTTTCATAAAAACCCACTTTGTCACATTACATGTCAGCACACATTTGCATAAAAACTCCCTGTCATCCAGCACTTGCATATAAACTGATGTTATCACACTACACGTGCATAAAAACTGCCTGTCACCATACATTTGTATAAAACCCTCTGGAACCGTACATGTTAGTGCAGTTTTGCATAAAGGGGTCCCTTTATCACCGTATATGTCACCCTATATTTACGTACAAATCTAAAAGCTCCCTATGGCCTCCTAATGTCACCATATATTTGCATGAAATTTTCTTATGTCACCGCAGTTCTGTCACGTACAGATTGGTGTCAAATGAGAAGAAAAAAAACGACATAAAGTTTTTCCTTTCATCTCTTTCCTTTCATCTGTCACCCACATTAGTGAGGTGTTTTGATTCACTGTGAGCCTCCGAAGCAGTTTCAGCGTAGCCTCGACTGGAGGGATAAACAGCACTCTCCTAAAAGATTTCCCCTCATTTGTAGAGATGTCCTGAGCCTTGGTATCTGCTAAAACAATCCTGATCTAATTACAATCATTTATTTATTGTACTCTGCTCTGCGGTCTGCCTCAGCCTGCTAGTGTTACAGCGCTGTTCTTCTTTATTCTTTTGCCTGTTCTTCGAGTGAAAATTAGAGATTTGGCAATGTGAGAAATCCTTTGGGTGCGGCAGTGAGTGACTGATTCCTGCCATCAGTGTTGGAAAAATACACAGATTCACTGAACTCTGATGCTCACAAATTTGGTATCGCTCCCCTCTTACTTATCAGCAAAAAACAAAAACATCCAGGTAGCAGCATCTCATTATTAGCCAGAACTAGCCTTCACTTTCACCATGCGGCAGCTCATAACAGTCGTTAAGGTGATAGTTTTTATTGATTGATATTTGAGGTGGGATTGTGTGAGGTGCTGTAATCTGTAGTCAGTGTGTTACGTGCAGTTGATTCGGACTCATCACTCAGAGTTTAGAGAAGCAGCAGGAGCAGGAGCTGCTGTGGACGTGTTTTAGCCACCACAGAAAAAAAGCTAGTATCAGTTGAAGTGTGCACTTTATTTTGAACACTTTCACTGGTTTATCTTACTGTCAAACAGCCCTTTCCTTCAGAACTACATTTTTTTCAACCATTGAACTACCGTATTACAAAGCACAAGCACAACTATGCTTAGCTCTGCCTCACTCAAACAGCTGATCTGTAGAGTAATACAGAGCACGCCGTAGAAGCGCTTGTGCTAGAGGACTGTTTGATCTTGAAATCTCAGCTGGCACTGAGGTGCAGTAACAGTGGAGTCATCAGATGTGAAAGTTAAAAGTTAGAAAACTTCAGTATTTTTTTTCATAAATCTGAATTTCTATTGTCTTGTTGAAACAATTAGTGAACAACAGGTTATTAGTGAGCTGTGATCAGTGAGTTAGCTCTACAGTATCACACTGATATGCAATACTATGTGTGTGTCCAGTATGTCAGTCTAGTCTAATCCTACCATCACTCCTGTGATGGGCCTTTTCCTGAGAAGTTACAGCACCAAATCGAACTCGCTCATCGTCAAACTTCAGCTTCTTCTGCACAACCGAGAACTTCCTGTACCAAATAAGAAGTGACAGGCTCGCTTTGTTAGTGTCACTCTGCACATTTAACCAGGACACCTCCAGCAGTGTCTGTGTATACAGTGTTGTAACAGCGGATTCCAGTTTGCCCTTTTCCAAGATACAAGACAAGACAGCTGTGTGGTTAACACAGCAGCATATGTTCATATTTCCACCAGCAGACTGAAATAAATAATCTCCCAGTTTGAAATGCTGCTCTAATACCCTATCTTGTATCTGGCAGGCCCATTTGTGCGGGTGGTCATCATTCTTCACTCTTTTGAAGTCCATTAGTCGTTCTGACAGCAGCGCCGCTGGCTGAAAACAGCAGATAACAGACTCAGGATTAGAAGAGCTACCGCCTCAATATGTGTGTGAGAGTTTTCGGTGTGTGCTTCTGTGGTTAGATCATGATTTCGGCCCCACTATTTACTGTGCTCATGTATGTAAATGACAAAATGGGGTTTGATTCCCCAGCCATATTTGCGATTTTGTTTTCATCTTCTGTGTCAGAGCGCGTGTGTGTATGTGTGCGTGTATGTGTATTTATGAATGTTTTTATGTTCATGAACACACACACACACACACACACACACACACACACACACACACACACACACACACACACATTTTGGTTATTGAGGTTTTTACTGACATTATTGTAGAGTAGAATTTGACTAATATAGAATTTCAAGATGAAGGCTATTTTGATTAATCTTTAATACTTAAAAATACTAATATTATTATAGTATTTTATCAAATCAGCCATATTGTAACCTACATCATAACAAACTGCACGCCTTTTCAAACTGTCTCTAATGCAGTGGTTCTCAACCTTTTCCAATTCGTCGACGACTTGAAACATCTTTAAAATGTTGGTGGCCCACATCTGACCTCGTAACAATATGGAGGCCAAATAATGCCTTCTCAGAGCCTCCTTTTTTTCTTTGAATGATCAAACATGTGTGACTAAACTGGAATCACCAAAATTGTACTGTTTTGCAAATGATTTGCTGGCCCACCTACAATACCTTCGCAGCCCACCAGTGGACCACTTCTCATTGTCTAAACTGTGAGTCTGAACCTCAAAAAACGGACTTTTATGACATATAATTAGTTAGAATCCAGTCTTCCCCAGTTCACAGTTGAGTAACTTTTAATCCGAACCTAACTAAGAATGTTAAATGTCTCACTGGCTTAGGCAGCAAGGCCTTATGAATGAAGACACAGCGATGATCATCCAACCTGTTCATATCACTCACAGTAGTGAGTGTGATAGCTGTGTTGTGTAATGAATCAAATGGCAACACTTTGACAGCGTCCAGTGGAGTTAAGGTAGCGGCAGCAGCATGAGCAGACAGGATATCTCCATAACCCAATATGGACACTGGTGGATAAAATTACCACTTCGAACCCCTTTCAACTCTGCGTACAGTGTTGTTACCATAAATGTCCTTTTAATTGAGATGTATTCATCAATCTTTCCTTGCAGGAATGATATGAAGTTTTATTCTGGGTTTGATACTCCCTGTATTTCTTGCTTTTTTCACATTGTTTGTTCAACCTAGCTTCAGTATGCCAACAGGACCAAGAATAACATATTCTCTGCTCACCAGCATTGCAGCTGTAAACAGGACCTCAATAGCAATAATAAAGCATGATAGCACATGCTTGCTCTGATATGTTTTTTACAGTTCCAGGATAACCAGGATAATATTATCAGTTATGAGTAAAATAAACATGTAGGACAGATCTCATCAGAGCTGGAGCTGTGGGCCCACATATCAGTCTGTGTGGTCTGTTAGGCGAGTTTTGTAGGCACATTGGTGTCATTGTGCTCACATTTATCCACTACAGCCCTGGCCGCCATGCTGAGTATCTTAGTGTAGCATCCAATGTGTTCTGGTGTTTCTCGTCAACAGTAATAAATAAGTGCTGCGTTTGAGATGCAGCTCCAGCAGGCTAAACCCCCGCCCCCCTCCTCCTTCTCCTGGCCTATCTCGTAGCCCGACTTGTGCGGGTGGTCATCATTTTTCAATCTTCTGAAGTCTATTACTCGATCTGACAGAAGCGTCGCTGCTGAAATAGGGAGATAAGAGAGTTGGGATTAGTGCTGATGTAGTGCCTGGGTGTGAGTTTGTGTGTGTGTGTGTGTGCGCGTGTGTGTGCGTGTGTGAGTTCATGGGTGTGGGGTTGTGCGTCTTGTATGCCTGTCGTGGTATTTTGATAACAGCAGGAATCTTCATTTTAACACCCCAACTGTGCAAAACAACTGTTGTTAAAAACAAGTTCTGAATTCGCTGCCAAAACTTCACTGATCCGTCACTGTGACAGAACATTAGTAAAGTCATTGGTACAGTAAGGCAGAGAGAAACAATTGACTCTGACAATGACATTTTGAGAGTGCACAAGGAAAATCAGACCATTTTAAAACTCAAAACACAAAACACTAAAACAACATTTTTAGAAGATGATTTTTTTTTTCGGCTTAAGCATCATGTTACGAAGATTCCCCAAAATGTAATTGACTGCAACACCAATGAATTTCAAAGTAAATCAAGCTCTTTATGACGAGCATTTGTAGAACACTGTGTGTAAATGTTTTTCATGTTTGATGAATGATTGGTTTTGCTTTAAAAGCCACTTATAGAAAGATTGTGTTTGGCAGTAGTTGTGAAGGGAGGTTTTAGTTTCTTCAAACTAAAAGACAAAATGACCCACACAAGCATTTTCTGTTCTGCTGCTGCGATCACTAGTTGACGATTTTATGTTGTGCATTATGGACACTTGATTTCTGTGCAGTATTTCAGTACTTAACTCTAATCTTCAGAGCAGTGGAGGTCTTCATCCGGGACAAGTACGAGAGGAAAAAGTACTTCGACAAGGAAGCTCAGGGTGCAGCTCCTGTGAGTATCACCAACTCTTCTTTCTGTGTCTGGTCGTTGTTATAATTGTCTCCAGAGTGGCTATGGCTGCATGTCTTTTCATGAAACTGTGCATCAGCGGCTGCTTGTTGAAGAGGTGAGATGCAAAGCTCTTTGATACTCGCTGAAGACGGAAACCAGCTTCATATTAATGATCAAATATGAATGATGTCCTATCACTCTGCCTTTTGGCGAGACACAAACACTGCTTGACTTTTCCATGTCGGTGCATAGTTCGGCTTCCATTATCCGTGTCTTTCACCCATCATGCCTGCAAGGTTCCTATTTTTACAGCTGTTGACCTTTTCTGCACTTTATCACACTGGTGACAGTTGCTAAGCTCAGATGTGTGGAAAGGCAGTGAAATCCCTCTCAGTCCTGATGTCAGCTCAAACAACAGAGTCCTGTTGGATCTGATACAAAGTGTTGTTCGCGCACAGTTGGAGAATAACCTTTTAAAACACTGTTATCTGGTGATGCAGGTCTTTATCAGTAAGTATAGATGTCTTTATGTGTTTGTGTGTCCCTGTCAAGACTGAACCTTCGTTTGTGTGAAGAGAAAGGAAGCGATTGTGTAGGTGTGTGTATGAGTGGGCGGGTGCATGTTTCCTTTTCTTGTTTCCAGAGAGATTATCTCTGTGAGGTGTGTGTCTTTGAGTGTTTCTGTGAGTGGGTTGCTTCTATACTATGTGTTATTTAGGGCGGTGTGAATGCTCAGCAAAATGTGTGTGATGCAGCGTGTGTGTGTGTGTGTGTGTGTACACGTATAACCTGCTGTGCTCCCCGCAAATATTGACCATTACAACCACAGCAATTTGACTCAGTGATCATAAGTTTGATCACAAGTTCGAGTGTAAAGTCATTGTAACTAGTTATGTCGACCACACGCTAGACTTTGAAAGGACTTTTTAAAAGACTAAAGTCGGACGCCCTCTCACATCTAAAGAGAATGTGTCTGTAAAGCCTGGAGATCTCTCAGGGTCACAATTTGCAAGACTAGATTCCTTTGAGATTATTTCCCATCATGCTACTGGTGGAAATTTACAACACAGTTTTTAACATACTTTTTTGCTCTTTGTAGTCCTGCATCATCATTAATATTATTATTATGTGGCTCAGGAGGTAGAGCATGTCGTCCACTAAGCAGCGGGTCAGTGGTTTGATCCCTGCCTCCTCCAGTCCACATGTCGAAGTGTCCTTGGGCAAGAAAATTGCCCCTGATGTGTCATCGGTGTGTGAATGTGTGTGTATAGTAGAAAAAAGTGCTATATGTGTAGGGAAAAGTGCTTTATGAATGTGTGTGTGAAAAGGGGAATGTGACAAGTAGTGTAAAGCGCTTTGAGTGGTCATTAAGACTAGAAAAGTGCTATATAAACACAGTCCATTCACCATTTAACGTTAGCGACTCAAATTATCATGATTTGCCCCTAAAATGACAATAAATGACAAAGTTATAATCACTACGCACAAACAATGATTGAGTTCATTGTGGAGCCGTGACGTAAGGTATCAGAGATTTACAAACAACAGACACACTCAGAGGAAATACTGCAAAAATAATATGAACAGTGCAAAAGTCCAGTCAACTGACAGATCTGTCCTTACAGCCTCTCACTCCAAGGCTACAAACTGTAAGGAAGGAGCACACAAAGTGAAGACTGTTTAACAAAAAAAAGTTTCAGGAAAATGAAAACACACTCATACACGACACTGCACTACATTACGTTAACACAAAATGCCTTGTTCACAGCAGTCCTCCTCTGGTTCATCTTCATTTCATCTCCCTGTCTCTTCCTCTCACTGTCTCTCCTTTAGTGTCTCTCCTTCTCTTTTCAGTTTCTCATTTTGTCTTTTATTTGTTCCCTGTTGCCTCCTGCCTCTCCCTCTGTTTTCTCTGGCTTTCTCTGAAGCGCTGCCAGCAGTCAGACTGTGATCTAGGATCTGTTTCTGCCACCCACACAGACGGCTTGGCTTTTATATGCAAATTAATTATTAAAAACAACTCATTATCAGTTTAAGCAGTTTCGTGCAGATGGAGAAAGAAGAGGAGGGGTGGGCTAAAGTAACCCTGAGGTAGTTTGTATATATATGTGTGTGTGTGTGTGTGTGTGTGTGTGTGTGTGTGTGTGTGTGTGTGTGCTGGAATGAGAGATTTGTTGGTCTGGCTTATCTGTTGAGCACTTATAGAAACGGAGCAATGTGTGTCTCTGGATGCCTTTTTCACTGTACATCTGTTACATCATCACACTGTACTCCCTCTGTTTCCCAGTGTGTTTGGATAATACTGACAGTTGGTTGGTGTTAATATGTAACATGATGGATACAGTATGATGCAGATGGATTACATACATAGAGTATCCCTCGTTGTCCAAGAAAATCATATTGAACCTCAAGTAATGTTAATGAGACATTTGAGTTCCACATGTTTCACAGTGATTGTTGCTATTGTGCGTTCTAGTGTTGGGCTGGGTAACGAGCCACAACACTTTCTGATTACAAATTTAATTGTGAACTACATAGAGTGCTGCAGGGATGATGATTTTTGTAGGCTAACCCCCGAAGTTAGCGTCACCCTGGTTCCCTCGACAAAAAGCGAATGGGATTTTTACATGGGCTTTTGGATTACTGCAGAAAATAAGTGACAAACAAAAGTTTATGACACGTTTTGTTCAGCACAATAATCGCCACTTTTATGAAGTCTAAATACAATCACCAGATGTGAAAAGCTAATGTGTGTCCTTCGGCAAGATACTGAACTGAACAGAACAAATTGTCTCTGATGGCTGTTCCATCAGTGTATGAGTGTGTTGTATGAACATTTGAGTGAATGGGTGAATGTGGTAAGTATTGTTAAGTGCTTTGAGTGGTGGATAAGACTAGAAAAGTGCTATATACGTGCAGTCCCTTTAATGTCCCCGGCAACCTCTTTAGTCTCATTTAGCCACTGGTGAGCAACTGGCCTTTTTTAAGAGACATTTAAGAGACGAAAAAGTTAAAAAAAATCATGACTGAAGTATTTACTGACGTATTTTTTTAATGTCCAAGATTGATATAGAATGTTTTACTGTTGTGATAAAACCAATGAAATGTTTATCTGTTATTTGCTAAAAAAAAATCAGCGAACAGATTGTGTCATGTATGCAACGATATCAAAAAGTTGCAAATGTTAGCTAATGTTAGCCACCACAAGCTACCAATTAAAGCTGTAAGGCTGTAACAGCAAAACCCTGAGTGTATTGACATAAGTCAGCGTTTGTTTAACTGTTTAATTTAATTTGTATCTCTTCGTAAATTAAGAAGAACAAAACAGTTTTTTGTAATCAAAGTTTGTACTCATCAGTTACAATTTGAAAAAGGTACAGCTTTGTTATCAGTACTTAAACTCAAGTGGTGCTGATATAGAAACATTTCAAATTTTACCCAGTCCTCTTCCCACGATGACACTGATATTGTTTGGACATTTTAACATTTCAATTCAGAGACCATGTAAGGGTTTGTATTTTTATTTGTTTTATTTGTATTCATGTGTGAGACCAATGGAGAGCAAGCTAGAGAGAGAGAGCATAGTCTTGTAATGGACAGCTTGCAGTGCTTCGCTCACAGTGGAGTACGTGAGTGCATCCACTCCATTTCCATTGCCCATGCAGCATGAGCTCATTGTTCTGCCATCAGTGAATTATTAGGGGTGGGTGTGTGTGTGTGTGTGTGTGTGTGTGTGTGTGTGTGTGTGTGTGTGTGTGTGTGTGTGTGAGAGAGTACATGGACCACAGATTATTTCAATGTTACAGGAATCAACAAGACATCAGAGTGTATCTGGCAAACACTCTGTGATGAGCCCAGTGATTGGCCTAAAAATGTCACAAGAGAGCAGCACAGTCGCTCCGGAGGAAGGCTGCTGATTTTAAGCCTTATTTTCCTGTGTTAGTCATATGGATGTCCTGTCCGCTGTGTCCACAGCACTTGCCAATGTCCTGTGTGTTCCTGCAGCCAGCTGTGGCAGCCTACCTAACTTCTGCCATCCACTGACATATTGTATTCTGACGTCAGTGGACGGCGGAGGAGCTAGAGGGAGCGTTCTCCCAAGGTTACTTTTTTTTAGTTGAACAGGAGAACACAGATTTAGTTCTCTGTCAATTTTAACGGCACTGGGGAATTAATAATTAAATGAGAGTGTATGAGCAGCATAGACCTTTATTGTATTTCATTTTATTTTAATTATTGGCGTCATTTTTCATGGATTTTTTTTCATGGATTGACGGTCTTTGACGGTCATCTTACGGACGTCGTGGGCACATAGCGCATAACATTATAGAACATTGTAAACATTATATCAGCTTTACATCAACATGTAAGCATTGTTATTATGAGAATGTTAGCATGCTGCTGTTAGCATTTAGCGCAAAGCACTGCCTTCATCCTACTCCTAGTCTTGTTTGTAATGCTTATCATTGGTTGAACTGATGGAAGTGATTCTGATGACATTCATTGATTTTGATACAACATTTGCTATAAATGTTGGTGTGACTGGGCCCTTAAAGTCAAATTCAGCAGGTTAAGTCAGTCTCCATTATACTGGATGATATGATCAGTGTACCTTCTTATTCTATATTCTGAACTCCAATAAAGACTTCAAACTTTTCTTCATTTCAGAATACCTTAGCAGTAAATTGTTGGTTATCATATCATTTTAAGATTTTGTGTATAAGTGTATATCTTTTCTTTCTTACCAAGTGAACTCAGTTTAGCGTCGGGTATCATCTGTATTATCATATCGTCATATAGGCATTACCGGTGATCGCAGATAGACAGCCCGATCTCACAGCTGGGCTGTCTATAGCACAGCTTTTTGCTTAGTGATAATGGGTTAATGCTCTAAATATTTGTCATTGTTGTTGGCTGCTCCTGTTCGAGGTCATCACAGTGAAATAGTTGATCTGGCGTAGGCTTTTACTCTGGATGCCGTTCCTGACGCAACCCAGGGA